CTGGTACCAGCAATTTGCCCGAGGCCACACAGCCACCAAGGGGCAGAGCCAGGGACCTGCGCCTGGTGTCAGGGCCCCCGGCCCAGTGGCTCAGCGTCGCCCACTGTAGCGCCACCATGTGCCTCTGAGGGCGCCTGCACGGGCCTGACTCAGCCAATCCAGCCCACGCCTCACAACCACGGAGCAGCAACAGCATCCGTGTTGGTGCTGCTTCCCGTGCGTCCTGGTGGCTTCGGCCAAGGAGCCCTACGAGGACTGGTGGGCTGGAGGACTCCTCCGGGAGCACTGGCTAGCACCCTCCCGAGCCTGCACGCCACCGCACACAGGAGTCCTGACCACACAGTCGGCGGGGGGGCCGCATGTCCCTGGACTCTGGGGCAGGCAGCACCTCAGGGGGCGAGTCCACCCACAGCGGGGGACTGGGCAGCCGTGCCCCATAGCCAGAGGGGCCTGGCCCAGCGAGAAGGGCTTCCTGGAGGGGAGGAAAGGCGGGAGCATACGAGGAGCCAGTACGTGGGCTCACTGCCACCACAAGGTGGTGGCCCAGCACCCTGGCCATGTCCTTGCACCCAGGCACCGCGATAAGCACAGCCTGCCCCTGCCCAGGCCGCCTGCCGGACTCCAGAAGGCTCACGCACGCCAAGTGTTCCCTCCCCGCCGACAGAGCAGCACAGGCTGGCTCTGAGCAGGACCCGAAGCCCACATACCACCCCTGCCCCAGACAATCCATCCTCGAAGCAGAGCCGCCCTGCACAGGGCGACCCAAACCCCACGTGCCCCCAGCCCGATGGTGAGCACCTCTGACCCAGCCGTGGCCGTCATCTCACACCTGAGACAGACTGTTCTAGAAACCACGGCTGCGCAGACTTCAAGAAAGAGCGGCTGCATCTAGAATTCAGCTGGGCTGAGCCCCAGGCAGCCCCAAAGAGAGCAGCAGGGAGTGGTCAAGAACCCACGTGGAGCTTCCGCACAGGGCCAGTGCCTGGATGGGGTTCAGTGTCGGCTACTCCCATAAACGTCACAAATGACCCTGCAGTGTGGCAAGAAGCGCAGAGGCCACTGCCCCGCTGGACGGCAGATGTCGGACAGGCAGCCACAGCTGTGTGGGCCAGCACCAGGCGCGGGGGGTGAGCTCCTGGCTTGTGTTCAGGCAGTGAACACACAACCTGCAACACCGGCTGTGCTCTCTAAAAGGCAGAGAACTCTGATAGGAAAACTCGGCAAGCCCCCCGGGAGAGCGTCAATGTCAGACACCGCGAGCGGAGCAGCCGGGGCCTTTCTGGCGGCTCTTGCTTCTGCGTTCACAACAGGTTTACTGGAAATTCGCTAAAGCGATTTCATTTCCCGCTAAACACAAACATGAACGACGCGCATGCCGAGGCTTGGGGACCAAGCGCGCAGCCTCACGCGTGCAGGACGCAGAGGAGGCCGACCGGGCGCCTGGGAGCAGGACAGGCCGTTCCTGTAGAACCAGCGCCGCTCCCACAGCAAGGGCAGACTCGGGTCCTCGGGACACCCCGGCACCTCCTGTCCACCCTCCTGACCCGCCAATCCACCCGAGGGCGTGAGCCGGCTCCTGGCCTCCCACCTGTGCCCGCTGTGCAGGGGCCTCCGGCCGGGCTCTCCGAACACGTCCCCACCACCAGCAGGGCCTGGTGCTGGACGGCTCCCTGAGACGTTGCTCATGCTATGAATGCGCAAGTGGCGACGTGGGACGAGTTCTCCCAGGGCAACTGAGTTTGATCCTCAGAAATTCTCAGAAAAACCGGCTAACACGTATATGTTAGGATAGTCTTTGGAAGACAGCAGGAAACCTGACAACCAGCCAGTGAAACGGACAGGAGATCCTCCGCCCCACGACAGGAGGTGTGAGGCGGCAGTGGGAGATGGCACACTCGCTCACCGACGCAGACACTGCACTGCTCCGCTGCTCTGCTCTGCCTCCTTAAGAACAGGCTTCGTCCTCATCATCGCAATGTGGCTGCGAAACCACCGTCCCACTGGGGTCCGCCCTTCCCAGCCCCATCTGCGTCCTGGAGGTTTCCCGCCACCTGGGGCCAGGCAGCCCACACTGCCCTCATCACACGGCGTCCTGGTGCTCAGAAGAGCACTGCCACTCGAACCCGACTCTGGGGGCCCCTCCAGGACCTGCTGTTCCCGCCTTCCCTGGGAACGGCCCCTGTGTACGGCCCGGGGCTTCAGGAGTCAGTATCTGGGAAAACGCCCTTTGGGAAGTAAGGCAAAATAACGGTGATAGAAAACAAAGAGAATGTTCCACCCCCAGCCCTGCCTGGTCTGACGTCCCCCAGGCTGCAGAGGAACACGACAGGGAAACTCAGATCTTTAAGAACGCAGGAAAAGCAACAAAAATGGCAAGTATCTGGTTAAATATAAAAGGCTATTTTTTCTCCTTAGCTTTTTAAAAATATGTAATATGAGCCTCTAGAGCAGGTGAAGACAATTTACTCCCAAAAATTTGCTCCCAATTTTTTTTACTTTAAAAAATTTTTTTGTAGAGACAAGGTCTCACTAGTTACCCAGGCTGGCCTCGAACTCCTGACCTCAAGCAATTCTCCCACCTCGGCCTCCCAGAGTGCTGGGACTACAGGTGTGAGCCACCGTGCCCGGCCTCCCCAAATTTTATATATACACATTCATGTATATATTTAAATAGATGTAATGTGCAACGTACATATTAATAATTATATTATCCACAGAGAAAGGACGACCCAGACCCCAGCCTCAGCACAGCTTAGGAGAACCCGGAAGCTACAACGCACGGGCGGGTGAAGGAGGGAACCAGCCCAGGTGGAGGCTCAGCGCCCCCGCCAGCAGCTCTGTGGGGAGGGGAGGGAGGCGCCAGGGAAGGCGCGGCAAATCCTAAGACACCACCAGAGAGTCGAGCCTGTGGTCTGAGGTGCCGGAACAGCGTCCAGGCATCGGGGACGGGCACGGACCATGGGAAGAGACTTCAAGGCCCACACGATTCACAGCGGCGGGTGCGGCTCTGTGGACCCTGCTGGGCAGAAGGGAAGGTGAGGAAGGGAGAAGCAGCCCTGGGCAGCAGGAAGAGGAAGAAAAGGGGGAAACGGGCACTCGCCAGACAAACAGACAGCCGTGACACCTGAGCACTGAGACTCCCCCAGTCCCCTCCAAGACACACTGACAACCAGCCCACGCACCCGGACTTCGCCGGGCGGACGGCAGAGGGCGCCAGCAAACCAGGAATCCCGCAAGACACCCCGATGCCACTGAAAAGGAACAAATGAAAGTTCAGGTCCCCACAGACGACCAGAAACACAAAACTAAAATGGAACAGGCCAAAAGAAAGCGAGAGACAAACAAAGGAAGAGCGCTGACCAGCCCCAGGGAGGAAACGCAAGGCGGACACGACAGTCACAGAAAAGAAGGACGTACCGCGCACTGCGCGAGAGTCGGCTACAGCAGAGTCCAGCACAGGGCGGCGAAGCCCCACTCGGCCGAGGGCGCGAGACGAGCACAGAGAACAAGAAGGAGAGAAGAGGTGCGGGCGGCAGGCAGGAAAGATCACCAAGTCCCCGAAGAAGAGAAACTAAACCATGGAACAGGATCAATATTTAAAGCTATAATCCAAGAAAATTTTTCAGAAACAGAAAAAGATCTGAACTTACACACTGAGAGACTTACAGAGTACGTGAGAAAATCACCCAAGACGTAGCCCAGTAAAGCCACCGGATTCCAAGGATCAAGATAAAATGGGATAAAATCCTCAAGGCCTCCAGATCCGTCCTACAAGCAGATCCAAAGCTTAGCCTGGCACCAGACTCCCCGTCATGAACATACAAATTAAGGCAACAGCAGAATAGCCTTTTTAAAAATCTCAATAAAGTACAAACCAAGGATCGTAAATCCAGCCAAGTGTCCAAGCACCAAAACTGTAGAAAAATAGTTTTCAATGTACAAAAATTTAGCCAATTCTGTCCCCATCAGCCCTTTTTGAGGAATCTGCTACAGCAGGGCTGGTTCTTTCATAAATGATCAGATAAATAGTTAACGCCTGAGGCCGCACAGTCCTTGTCCCAACAACTCAGCAATGCCGGCCCGGCACCAACGCAGCCGCGGAGGACGCAGAAATGAGTGCGCGCAGCTGTGCGCCCATAAAACCTCGTTCCCCAAACGGGCAGCAGGCTGGACGTGGTGGAGGGCG